TCCCACAAGTGAGCGAATGTTACTTGAACAAATGGACGGAATCGTCATTCTGTTGATGGAAGTTCGCCTTAACACAACCCATCAGCCAACGCGATGCTTATGATCTTGACGTCTATTTCTTAACCGTTTGTAACGATTCCTCACGGAATGAGTGAACGCTGAAATTCCGACGTCATTCGCGAAAACACCGGGATTTCATTGTAGTATGCGGGATGGACCCAAGTTCTTAATCCACTCGACATAACTGGCAGTCCGAATTCTTACACCAATAGAGTCGACCCATAAAGACCGCACAATCCCTGGCCACTCTGACGCTCTCAACATACAGCAGGTAGGACAGACTCCTCGTAGTAGGTTCTCCGTGGAGGGGAGGGGCTTCGAAGCAATATGGAAGACAGGGAAAATACAAGAAGCAACCATGAACCAAAAGGTCCAGTCAGACACGCACACCACTCACAATCAAATCAAAATGGCTGCACCCGTGTCTTCGCTACAACATAACGGAGGAATGGTAGGTCAGTATTTGATGAATTGATGTAAATGTGCACTGTCAAGTATATCCACTGCAAAAACGTAAAGAGTTGTCCAGTTTCAAAACGCATGGCCGAAGTTCAAAGGCTGCGTCCAGGTTCTCAATATCCTTTAGTTGCGTAATTTTGCTACAGATTTATGCATATTTCCGTTACTTGATCCATGCCTTGTTGTTAATTGGCGCGATTGTAGTTAAAAAGGAGAATCAGTTACTTGATCATCATATTTCAATACCTTCATCTCGTGTGTGTGCGTGAATTGCTTTTGACTAGCACAATGAGAACTCTAATTCACACACTGTTCCGTAACCGGAACGTTTTCACGCGTTTTTCCTGCCCCGTGGTATGAGCTATTGACAGCAAACTTGAGTGTCCCTACCTGTAACATGCTGGTTGTGCAGTCCCATTGTGCACCGGTCCAAACGTCATAATGCAATGTGTTATAAGTCTGGTGTCGAACTTCATGACGGTTTCGTGCTTGTCATCTCTCTCTCTCTACTGTGCATGACTTATTCCGGACTTTGGGGGAAACCATTCGTTTGCCCTCGGCCACGTCCGTGCGTACGTGTGTGTATATACGTAGACAAATGGATTGTTGCACTTAGCCTAGAGATCTTCCGTTATGCACACGTATATATGTGGTAAGTTATGAACCTTACACGGTCTACATATGCAGAAGTGGAAGAAGAGGATCAGTCACTTCACCTGTGCGCGTGTATAGTTTATGCAGCCACGCAACAAAGTGCGCGCGTGCGTTCGTTGCTTCTCTCTCTCTGTGTGTGTGTGTGTGTGTGTGCATTTGACGCTGTTTTGTTTCATGTCGATCGATCTTGGCACATCTAACTGTGTGCGCATACACGTGCATGTCCGCGCCACCCACTAACCCACCCTCCTGTCCGTCCTTCCATCTGCCTGCCAATGGATCAGCTTGCAGTTTGCCTATCCGGTTGACAGTGATCGGGGCAGAATTTCAACCATATCACCAATTCAGCAACCATAAACATGCTGCACTAGCGACAATTTTGTTTTGGCTTTCAGCGTTTCAGATCTTCCCATCTCTTTGATATAGACAATCTGTCACTGGCTGTCGGCGTTGATCAGTAGACAGATCGCTTTTGTCATTGGCGTTCTGATCCGTGTGTGTCGTCTGCGTTTCTCCACGCGTTCTCTCGCTATCAGTTTCACTTTACCGCAGGTCATTCATACGTTGTTCTCAATGTAAATATCTCAAATGGTGGGATCTTTCAGCATCCACAAGCAAAGTTTTGATTACTCTTTAATGTGCTAGTACGAAAAACATAATCGTACCATCACTCATGTTTTGTTTGACGCACATATTTACTTCCTTTTTCCGATCTGCCATAAGTACATCAAAATCGTTTTAGTACAGTTGGATATAGAGTTGTCCCGATCTTCATGTTTGGAAACAGTAAAACACGATCTATGATTTCCATCGGTTTTCAGCGCCAGTTGTGGAGCGCATTAAAGTGGCCCAAACAACAACAGTAGATCCTGAATTCCCGCAGTATGCAACATGCACCAATATATTTTTGTATTCCTTCATTGGGGGAAATCAACTGAGGAGTCCTAGTTACTATTATTACTGCGTACCGATCATTGAAGACATAAAGCTGGATCCTGAAGTCGTCAAGCCGCTTTCGTATTAAACAGCTTGTCCGTGTGATGTTTTTGCTATTGCTAGTACTTGCTTCTTTGATCCGAGTCGTAATTTGTTCGCAGATAATGGATGGAGTTTGAGGGACAACAAACTGGGAGTATAACAAAGCCCCTGCAATTCTGGAGGAATTATAAGTTATTCCGGTGTCTAATACTTTGCCGCAGGAGAGTCCTATCAAAAGCCGATCCCATCAGATGTTGTGGTGGAATGTAAAGGGCCAAAAGAGATAGCATGAGTTGGAACATGCTGAAATCTCTGCAACGAGGTACCAATGCCCAGAAGTCGGAAATAATGCTCGAGACAGACCGAAAAGAACCAAACGAAGGCTACAACCCCACAGAAGACAGAAAACTCACTATAGAGACGATGCTCCAATAGTTCAACCACCGCTATCGGTTGATGCATTGCACCCATTGATAGAGTCAACCCTGTAGCAGCAGCTACTGCACAAGTATGAAGAAACTTGCGATTCGCCCATGTCTGGTCGGAACTGTGTGAGATGAACTAACAACATGAATCGTGTATCATCCTGCTATGCGTCCGAGAACAATCAGCTGTATATAATCGAACTGTGTTGCGATATGCGTCATTTGTGCACCTCATGCGCTTCGTGTTCAAATTTGAAAGGAAAGTAGGATGCTTACCTGCCGCGTACTAATAGACAAAACAAACGTGTTCTGCGCTTTGTTCCAAAACTAATCATTACATATTTTATATTATTATTAATATATTATTATTAACTCGCCTGTCCACATTCCAACTGTTCCAATATCTATTAAGTTGGAGTCGATATCTCCACAACTATTCTTCCATCATTTTTATCTGAAATAATAACCCGTGCGCACTCATATTGCCGCGCATCTTCCACGGAAAAATCGCCTTTTGTAAAGTTTATACGTATAGCGCACCGGTGTGTGTGTGTGTTTCACTCTTTGTCGACACATGTAAGCATCGTCATGTCACCTTGATAGTGGCTGCTGTGATTGGGGTATCACACTAAACGTTATTCTTGTATCTTAGCACTCGCTAACGCATTGGAAATAATGATCCACCCAGCCAGTCATCTAGGCACGCATGCATTCTTTGCGTTCTCGGTGCCCACCCACAATCCATTTATGTAGTCCAAAGCGCCCGCTGATGCAAATAGACGTGTTTTTTACATCTCTACCACATGCTTGGCTTTTGTGTCACGGGGTAGCCTTTTAACCGGTGTCTCGATATTGGCGATGGGTGACGCGAAGACTAAATTGTCGCCTAGCGAACCAGTTTTGATGCTTTTTAGCTCCCATCCTGTTTTTCGTTTTTTTTCGAACGAAAATTCACGGCGGAGGTGCTTTTTGGTCAGTTTTTTTTTACCTTAGCTCACTTTAGCTCAAATCTATCAGTGAAACAACGCTGCCTTTGTTAAGTGACCATTTTCATTGATACCTCTGTTCATATTGGGTACCAGCACTGTATAAACTAAACCTCGTGAATGTGCGAACACTTTCCTGTTCTTACTCATTTACCCCCTCCCCGCGAGTTAACGTTTTCATTTGGGGCCCTTCACATTCACGTGTCCTTTCGGACAGCGGGTGCCAATATTATCAATATTTTCTCTTTCTGTTTATATATATATATATATATAAAATTACCGGATACACATGCTTGAGAAGCGGCAAGAACCGCGAAACTGGTCGTGTGCTTCCAGGGAATTTTTGTCCAGTCATTCACATACCACTTATTATGAAATATATATATATATATAGAGAGAGAGAGAAAATAATATTGATAATATTGATTTTATATATATATAT